CCAAAAGACATGTCAAATTATAAGTGGGATGTGGGAATGTACTTTCGTTCAAAGGGTGATTTTAGGGAAGCAATAACAACTTATGCTATGCAAAATGGTAGAGACCTAAGGTTTGTAAAAAATGACAGAGTTAGGGTAAGGGTTAAATGTAAAGTTGGTTGTGAGTGGGAGGCTTATTGTAGCAAGTTGTCAAATGAAGACACTTGGCAACTCAGAAAAGTAATTGACAAACATAGTTGTATTAGAGAGTATAATGTGAAGCTGGTGAGTACAAAGTGGTTGACTAAAAGAATTCAGAATAGCTTGAAAAACAACCCAAGGTTGAGTATAAAGGATATTAAGGAGAAGGCACAAAAAAGTGGAATGTTGGGGTCAATAAAACCAAAGCTGTTATTCTAGGTACCCAACCGTGGATGTTATCACGGATGTCATGACATCCACTATAACACAGACTACAAAGCTTAATGACAAACTGTAAATGAAAACAGTAAATAACACAAGTAATTTTTTACCCAGTTCAGTGCAAACCACACCTACATCTGGGAGCTACCAAGCCAGGGAGGAAATTCACTATTAGCAGAATTAATTCAGAGTCAAACAACCAATTTGCACTCTTCACTTAAGACCTACCCAATGACACTTCAGCCTAACACTAGACCTGAGTTACCAACTCACTCCCCCTCAATCACAGCAGTGATGTCAACCAATTCAAAATTACAAGTAATATTGAAGACACACTTCAAACAAATCTTGATTTTGCTTCACAACTTCAATCAAGATACACATCACTCTTGCTTAAAAGCTTATAGTGAACACACATAGAGTACAGTTCAAACACACTAGTCCAATGCAATCATCCAAGAGATAATTTCTTGGCTCACAAGGAATCCTAGGACTCAAAAACACACGTGAAGAACAACTACACAACACAGAATTCTTCACTCACCAAACACTGTACTCTCCAATCTCTGTCCCTAAGCTCCCACGAATTAGGATTGCTACTTCTATATATATAAGCAGCATACAGTCCTTGGGCCTAGGTGTAGAAATTAGGTTTACCCAAGATAAACCTCTCTTCATGAAGTTGCGCACATTCAATTAGGTCAGGGGCATTCCATGTTATCCTCAGGAATGCCTAACATGTCGCCTGAGATAACTAGGCTTCCTAAAATGTTTCCTGAAGTATAGCCTGAGCTAATACCAGAAAACTAAAACATGCGCGCCCTGATGTCAGCTGGTTGATATCATAACATCCAGCATGACATCCAACATACTTTGCTCTTAGCTATCCAAACTTACCCTGCAATACACTCATTATGTATGTCATAACATCAGTCATGACATTCACACATACATCAATATTTTGCCACAAAATGCAGCCAATCTAAAACATCTACAAAAGCTATAAGAGCAAGATTTGCAGCTAGAGATTATGTTGATGGTTCTTTTTTGGGAGATTACACAATGGTCTATGACTACTGTCATGAATTGTTAAGAGTCAATCTAGGATCAACAGTTAAGCTCAATATTGAGCCTATACAAGAAGATGTTGATGATGAAATGCCATATTGTAGAAAGCTTTACATATGCTATGTTGCGTGTAAGGAAATCTTTAAGTTGTGCAGGCATGTAATAAGTCTATATGGGTGTTTTTTGAAGGGGTTGTGTGGAGGGCAGATTCTGGCTGCCATTGGGAGGGATTCTAAGGACCAGATGCTTCCTATATCATATGCAGTTGTGGAGAGTGAAAATAAGGATAGCTGGACTTGGTTTTTAGAGTTGTTAATTGATGAACTTGGAGGCAAAGATGAATGCCTAACTTACACCTTCATCTCAGACCAACAAAAGGTAAGTTTTACATTTATTCTTATGGTTTTATGTGTTTATGTTATGCTATTCCTGTTATGCTATATTGTATGTTATGCTATATTTTTATTCTACATTATATGTTATGCTATTGCAGGGTCTGCTACCTACTATGGATGAGCTATTACCAAGGGTGGAGCACAGGTTTTGTGTTAGGCACCTCTATAACAATTTTAGGAAAAAGTTTCCTGGAAAGATGTTGAAAGACATAATATGAAAGGTTGTCAAGTCAACATACCCACAGACATGGGAAATAGAGATGAAGGGAATGAGTGCCATCAATAAAGAAGCATTTAAGCATATGATGAAAACCCACCAAGGTTTTGGAGTAGATATTACTTTAGGACTGAAAACAAATGTAATGTTGTTCTCAACATGTCTGAATCTTTTAATAGTGTCATTCTTGATGCAAGGAAAAAAACCTCTAATCACAATGTTGGAAGACATCAGAATATACATGATAGAGAGATGGGCAAATAACAGAATGAGATTTTGTACTTTGGATGAGAATGATATATTGCCCAATATTAGAAAGAAACTTGATGTCACAAGCACATACACCAACAACTGGCTAGTAAGGTATGTAATATCAACATACATTAATTATTTAGGATGTCTATAACATACATGTGACTAATATATTCTATTTGTTTAATTATTTAGGATGTCTGATGAACATATATTTGAAGTAAAGCATTTGGAAAATCAAGCTTACAAATTTGTTGTGAACTTGAAAGATCATATATGTTCATGTAGAAGATGGGAACTCACAAGACTCCCATGTGTTCATGCTTTGTCTGCTATGAATAGTAGGAATTTCAAAATTGATACTTACATTCCAGATTATTGTAGGGTTTCAAGGTACAAGGCAATTTATAAGCATGTGATCTACCCTGTTAATGGATCAAACTTGTGGGTTAAGACACCATATCCAGATGTGAAATCACCCAAGTTCAGGAAGATGCCTAGTAGACATAAGAAGAGGAGGAACCTAGAACAAGGTGAAATTGATGGGTCTGATCGCAAATTGAGAAGAACAGGTTTTGTGGTGAAGTGTAGTAGGTGTAAGAAAGCAGGACACTACAAGTCTACATGTAAGGACACAACTCACACAACTCAACAATCAGCCCAACCCTCTCATACTTCAACTCAGACTGCTTAACAATCAGCCCAACACACTCCTACTCTAATAACTCAGACTACTCAATCCAAGCCAACCCTCTCAAAACACAACAACCCTCTCAGTTGTGTTAAAAGCAGAACCTATTTATGGACATGTTATGAACTTTATGTTAAAAGCAGAACCAACTTATAGGTCATAATGTTTATGGACCTGTCATAATGTGGTGTAAATAATGTAGACCAAAAAGATGCAGACCAACATTGACAGGTCTGTAACAGACCAAGTAAACATAAAAACAGAACATACCAAATAATCTTTAACAATGCAGACCAAGTTAAAAACACTTTGACATGTCTATAACAGACCAAGTTAACATAAAAACATAACATACCAAATAGAACTTATAAATTATTGTGTGTTAAAACTAAAACTGATACATTAATGTTGAACTACAAAAAGTAAAATTAAAATCCACTGCAGGATTAGAATCCAACTATTACATTCATGTTGAACTGATACAATCCAAAACTGATACAAACTTTAACTGAAATTAAACCTAATATTTACAACCAAAAGATAATTAATTCTTACAAATAAACCATAGCATACTACTTTCAAACAAACCTTAATACCCTAATTAATTCTAACAACTAATACACTGATAATCATTACAAACATCAAATTCAAAATATTTTTCCACTTCATAATATTCTTCATTTCACTTTCAAGTTTTATCAACTTTTTCTCTAATTCTTCATTCTCCATTGTCACTTTTTCAATGTCCTTTTTTGCTTCAGCAAGTCCCTTAGTTACCACATGCAACCTATGCATCCAGAATTGCTCCTTCTCATCACCTACCTCCTCATAAAACCAACCAAAGAAACCACACCCAACTTGCATACCTTCCAATAATTTTCATTGTTTAGAGGACGATGGAGAATGAATTTAAACTTAAACAGAAACAAAATTTATTAACAGAATTCAAAAAGCTTGCATACTTTATAATTTGGACAACTCCAAAAAAGTTATCCCATATTCTTAACAGTAGTTGTCCTTTGAAGAACAGACGTGTCTCCACAATGACATATGGGCTTCCATCGTGACCTACTACAAACATCTGAATCTTGACTTTCCTGTTTCAATATGGAGGACGAACAACCAGATTTTATGCTTGTCAAAAACAAAAATCCTAGATTAATTTTGGGATTTGGGATTGGGAAGGAGGAAGGAGGAAAGAACGAAAAAAATTCAAGTTGCAGTATGGGAATGGGAGGAGGAAGGAGAAGGAAATAACATGAAGAAAATAACTTGCCAAGTCATCTGCCACGTACACAAAATGAACGGACGTTTGGGACAAATAATGGTGAGGACACAATTGGCACAATTTTAAAAGTTAGATGACCAACTTACCACTTTTTAAAATTAAGGGATCAAACTGAACCCCGAGTTAAAATTAAAGAACGAAAATAGATATTTTGCAAAAAAAAAAAAAAAAACATATTGAATTAGACATTTATTTTATAAGGGAAAGGGTAGTGCCAAAAAAAAGTGCTGAATCCAACATGTGCTAACTTTAGCACAACATGCACTCCAAGCTCTGGTGATGCTTCAACCATTGAACTTGTGTTGGAATATCAATATAAATAATTAGGTATTATATCAATCAAATATGTCTTGTATCTAGCAAAATTAGTTTGGCAAGCTGATTGTAACTGATTAGAATTCGTTTGGAACAAAATAGAAGCAGTTGGTTAGTTGTAACTAACTTCAACTCAAAGGCTCAATAAGAGGGGTTTCAATTCCAGTATTTATGAATAAAGAGGGGTTAAGATGAAGAGAGGAAGTGGAAGGGCGCTCACTCTGTTGAATAATATCATTTATATTATCTGTTCAAATAAGTATTTATTGCAGAGTGTTGTATAAAAAAATTGTACTTTAAATTTTTAACTAATTAATTTTTACATTTGGGGAAAACCTATGGCAATTAAAACCATCAAACTATATTGAACATTTATCTTCTTTCCTCCCTATAGCTACGTTCAACCGCTTCATGCTCTAGTGGTTGGATCCTTATAGTGATTTCTGGTAATGGCAACACAATTGGTTGCACCTGTGACTCACCAACCTTTCGATATGTTTGAAGAAGACATTGTCTACACTTGGGACATGATGAGTGTTTCTTTAGCCATTTGTCAATGCAACAAACATGAAAACCATGGTTACATTTAGGCAAAATCCTTACCTTTTCACTATTTGCGAACTCAGAGAGACATATGACACACTCAGTATCCAAACCTGGTAGTTTCAACTCAGTTGAATAGTTCAATGTGGGGAGCTTTTTGAGAGCTTTCTTCTTGATTCCTTTATTAGCCAACTGTTGTGAAGCTTGGTTGTTGTTGATGGCTTCGTTGGAAAATCTTAAGGCACATCTTATGATGGAGTTTAATGCAAGTGAACAAATAAAAGCACACAATAACACTGCAAGTATCATCACAACATTAGAATCAAATTCACGAACTCCAAAATACGAGTCGGTTGAATTGTGGTTGTTTAGTGGATGATGATCAATAGGGCCTTGGAAGAGTAACCTTCTGGTGTGAGATTCTGCAAGAAGCTCATGGAGGAGTGATGAAGTGAAGGAAGTAGAAGCATACATGTTGTTTGCTGGGGAACTTGATGAGTTGGTTAGTTAGAGGTTGAGGGTTGTTGTTATGTATGTTATCTTAGACAAGGGAGTATATATAGGGAAGTTCTTTCATTAAAGTATTATTATAATTTTGTTGCCAAGTTGCTTAAACTAAATCTGTTAGGATACGAGTGCTCTTTATCCTAAATATTTGTTTATATACACTATTTGCCTACAGCTCGTACTTTTTATGGGGAAAGTGATTGTTGAAATGGCTTTTTATTTGCTTTTGTTTGTATTGATTTGTTGAGTTTATTGGAAAATTTTGATTGTAACATATTTTGGTAACCTTGAATTATAAAAATTCCAGTCTTGGGTTGGCTATCATTAGAAAGGGATGCTTTTTTCTTTTTGGATAGAGTAATAATAGAAACAAGTATGAAGTAGCACTTACTTGGATATCCGTATCTTTATATGTAGGATATCACTAGTGTTATTTTGTCTTTGCACTTGCAACTTGTGAGATAGAAAAAGAACGAGGAAGGTGGGCATAGACAGCTTGTGTGTCGTATTTTATTTAGTCTGTATTTTTTTTGTAATGATCTATTCATGGAGATATTTCTTATTTAAAAAAGGATATATTTCGTCTATAATTGTAGTTGAATCACTGCAGGCATTATTATTTTTCTTGCAAATATTTGGGAGAGTGTTTGAAGGAAAGTGACGGGATCTCAGATTTGAGAGGGTAGTAAAAAAAAATTATTGGGATGAAACCCTCTAAACGTAGGTGACATCATGCTTAATTATGTTAACAATTATTTGGGTTATTTAATTTATTTATTTGTTCTTCTCTCCTTTTAAATCATATTGTCTCACATATTTAAACATTTTTTATGACATTTTGTAGCGGTAAAAATTGTGAGTGTAATCTATTGGTTAACATAACTCATAAACCAAGAGTCATCACCGAACTTTTATTTTATCCAAAAGAAAAGGAAAAATAGCGAACAAAACCTAAATAAGTTCTAAAACAAGAACAGATAAAGAGAGATAAGGTAGGAAGTTGGTTATGCTAAGGGAAGGTGTTAGCACCCAAAATGTGTATAGTACTCTGTTGTGAATCGGATGTCTTGAAACAAAATACGAACGGTTTCTTTATGATTAAGAAACACACAAGGGTTAGGGTTAACAAAGATAACAAGGTAAAACAACAAGGAACAACAATGATTGGTTATAAATGACTATTCTTTCATTACTCTTAGAACAAGATTACAAGTATAAAAGAATAACAAATAACCTCTCTCTCTTGAAATTAGGATTTTACCTTCCTATTTTTCCTTATACCAAGATTGAGAAACTAGCATCCTATTTATAAGAAAAAATAGCACATTAACTTAATGGACTTTTTTAACAATTACCCATTACAAGCTAATTTAAGGTACAAGTTAACTTAAACAATTGGGCTTACAAGTAAGGCCCAATTCAACATGCTAACAACCCTAGCAATATTGACTAATGCATGTTAGAATAAACTTCGACTACGACACACATTACTCCGACAGTAGCATGCGAACAGACTTCAACCTCATGCTTAATACCTGTCGAACCAGAAGCTACCCTTTGACCATACTAGAGTTCGATCCAACATCTCACAAATCTCTACCTTGGATCTAACTTTATAACATCAAGAAACTAGGTTTCTTCATGCAGCTTTATCAACTGCATACAGTGGAAAAACTTGCAACTGGGCAACGTCTTGGTGATCATATCAGTAGCATGTGAACAAACTTCGATTGCTGCTTTATTATCTTCACCCAAGGCTCTACCATAAATTAGGACTCTATTCAGAGACTCATTTATGTACCTTAGAATCCACTTCAATGCTTGTTAGTGAGCCTTTCCAGGATTCGCCATGTACCTGCTTACAAGACTTACTGCATATGTTATGTCGGGTCTAGTACATACCATAACATACATCAAAGAACCCATTATATTAGCATATGGAATGTTATTCATACAAGTTCTTTCAACATCAGTGCTGGGACACTGATCTATACTCAGCTTAAATTGAGGATTTGTCGGAGTCACAACAGTCTTTGAATTTGATATATCATACTTTTCAAGAATCTTTCGTAGGTATGCCTCTTGAGATAAGCATAATCTCGACTGCTTTCTATCTCTTCAGATGTCAATCCCGGGAATCCTGGACACAGCTCCCAGATCCTTCATGTCGAACTCCTTATTGAGATCAGCCTTTACCCTCTTTACATCTTCGACGTTGTTGCTTGCTATTAAAATATCATCTACATAGAGCAACAGGATAACAAATGAATTACCCGATCGAAATCTGAAGTAAACATAGTGGTCAAACTTACTTCTGATGAATCTTATCCGTGCCATGAACTTGTCGAATCTCCTATTCTACTGTCGAGGAGATTGTTTCAGTCCATATAAAGATCTATTCAGTTTTCACACATACTTTTCCTTTCCTTTTTCGACATACCCTTCAGGTTGCCTCATCAGGATTGTTTCATCTAAATCACCATACAAGAATGCAGTCTTCACATCCATTTGTTCCAGTTCAAGGTCAAACTGTGTCACTGTGGCAAGCAACATTTGAATGGATTTGTGCTTCACAACAGAAGAGAACACATCATTGAAGTCGACACCTTCTTTCTGAGTGAACCCCTTAGCGATCAATCTTGCCCTGTATCTCTTTGACGCCACTCCTCTGATTCCTTCCTTAACTTTAAAAATCCATTTACATTTGACTAACCTGGCTCTAGCAGGTTTCTTGATCAGTTCCTAGATATTTTTATTATGAAGAGATTTCATCTCATCATCCATGGTCTTCAGCCATTTAGTCTTCTTTTGACTCCTCATAACTTCCTTATAGTCTCTAGGTTCTTCGTCTAGAACCTCACTTACAGAGATTAAGGCATAAGCTATAAAATCTGCATACCCAAGTCTATGACGTGGCTTGATGACTCTCCTCGACTTGTCTCTTGCTAGCAGGTAGTCATTATCAATCTCCTCATCTTCGAAAACATCTTCCGTGTCTTCTTCAACTTCATTTGGGGTATGCGATTTAGGATCAACATGCTCCACCTCAACAGGAATCTCTCCCTGTTCCAGCTCTTCGTCAGCATCATCAGTTTTCTTGAAAACCATCTCTGCTTCATTGAAAACTGCATCTTGACTGGTGACACACCTCCTGTGACCTGGCTCTAAGCACCATAGCCTATAAGTTTTGATTCCTTCAGGGTATCCCATGAACATGCATTTCAGAGCTCTAGGTTCGACCTTGTCTTGCCTAACATGAACATAGGCCACACAACCGAATACTCTCAGTCTGTCGATACTAGGTGGATATCCCGACCAAACTTTTTCAGGTGTCTTCATTCCCAAGGTCTTCGAGGGACATCTATTTATCAGGTAATCTGTTGTCGAAACAGCTTCCGTCCAAAACACCTTCTTCAATCCAGCACTAACCAACATGCATCTAACCCTTTCAAGGATTATTCGGTTATATATCTCAGCTAAGCCATTTTGTTAAGGAGTACCTGCTACAGTCTTATGCTTTGAAATCCCAGACTCAACACAATAACTGTCGAACGCTTCGTTGCAAAATTCAAAGACATTGTCGGTTCTCAACCTCTTAACCTTTCTGCTAGTTTGAGTTTCGACCAGAATCTTTCAACTTTTGAAATTCTCAAAAGTTTCATCCTTCATATTCTGAATGAATACCCATAGCTTTCTGGAATAGTCATCAACGATTGATATAAAATACCTTGCACCTGAGTGTGAAGGATTCCTTGCAGGCCTCCAAAGATCAGCATGAATGTAATCCAGGGATCCATGTGTTCTTTGCTTGCCTTTGTTAAACTTCGCCCTACAAGATTTACCAAATACACAAGATTCACAAAACTCCAACTTTTCGACTTTGTCACCTCCTAGTAGGTTTTACTTCCCCAATTCGACCAGGCCTCTTTCGCTGACATGGTCCAATCTCATGTGTCATAATTCTGTCTTTGACACTGGTTTTATGGATGCAACATTTGTCGAACCACTTACAACCTCAGCCTCAAGGGTATACAAGCCTTGTTTCTTCATTTCTCTTAAGACTTCCTTCGACCCCTGCATGACTCTTAGAATATTTTTCTCTCCTTGAAAAACACATCCCTTTCTATCGAATTGACCAAGAGAAATTAAATTTCTCTTCAAGTCAGATACATACCTGACTTCAGTCAATAACCTTATTGACTCATCATGGAGCTTAAGTTTCACATATCCACTGCAACTTTGCAAGATTTATTGTTTCCCAGTAGCACAGATCCACCATCTTGATCACATAGCTCCTCGAACAATTCTCTGTTTGGAGTCATGTGCCAAGTGTAACCTGAATCCATAATCGACTCTTTTCTCGAGTCGCCACTTGAAACCACAAGAACATCAGATAAGTCGAAGTCATCTTGAACAATGGTTGCGTTGCCATTACCTTCATGATCTTTCAGGCGTTCAGGGCACACCTTTCTTGTGTGACCCTTCTTCTTACAGTGATAACATCGAATACCAGATGTTTTGCCACTATAAGATTTCTATTGACTTTTAACTTTCTTCTTGTCGAACTTACCATCCTTTCGCAAGAATTTTCCCTTAATGACCAAACCTTCGCCCACCATCAAAGGTTTATGCTCCTTTCGTTCGTTCAAGTCCTTAGAACACAAGGCTGATTGAACTTCTTCAAAGGTCAGGGACTCCCTTCCATACAAAAGAGTTTCTTTAAAGTGAACATGTGTTATGGGAAAAGCACACAGCAGCAACAGTGCTTGATCTTCATCATCGATCTTCACATCAATATTTCAAGATCAAGAATCAGTTTGTTGAACATATCCAACTGCTCAGCCAACACTTTGTCTTCACTCATCTTGAATGAATACAAAGTTTCTTCAGGTAGAGTCGATTCACCAAAGATTTGGTCATGTACAAACTTTCAAGTTTCACCCATAATCTCGATGCTATAGTCTCCT